GGGAAAGAAAGAGGGGCCTCTTACCAGCCATTGATCTCATTCTGAGCATTCACCGCCACCCCCTGACGGAGCAGCGTCTGCACCTCCTCGAGGTCGCCTAGAGCAGCAGCTTCCCGGAGCCTCTCCTCCAGGTGGCTGCTCATCCTCCCTCTCTGTTTCCCCCTTCCCCTCCGCCCCTAGCGCGCCCCCCTGCAGGCCCAGAAATGCCGCATCCGCACGCTCCCCCTTGCAGGGAGACGGGGGTAGCGAAAGCAGAAGCTGCCGCTCTCCTCCCAGCTCTCTTGTCCGCGCGGCTCTGCGCCCGGGGACGCGCGAGGCAGAACCCCCTCCGTCCTCCTGCCCGCCGGTGAGACGGCGCGCCCGGCCCCCAGGTATTTCGTCCACGCAGCGGGACCAGCGGACAGAAACCGAGCGGGAGGGGCGGGGGCGGCTGGCAGGCCGGGTTCGAGAGGAGGGATGCGAAGCTCCGTTTCCAGGGCAACCGAGCCTGGGGGGGGCGGGCCTAGCGCTGTAGAACAGGAGCCGAGCGACAAACGGCGGCGGGCGCTCGAGCGAAAGATGAAGCCTCTTGCGTGCGTCGCTTGGAGGAAATTTCCAAAAGCACGTGCACCGTCCCTAAAAATTAGGATTTGACAGCTGAAAAGCCAACTAAAATTTCGCCCTCTTTTTAAGATACGAAAGGCCATCATTCGGAGGCCAGGGAAGCTGCCTGCACCCTCCTGGCTTCAGTGCGACTCAAGCGACGATCTGTGCGTCGCTTTCTCGAAATAAGTCCCATTTATTTCTAGTCCAAGGGTTCAGTCTCTGTTGCTTTGGAAGTAAGTCTTATTAAACCGTGAGAGGTTTAATCCGTAAGGGCTGGGCAATAAAGCACAAACGCTGGCAGGAGCAGCAATACTTTGGAGAAAAGGAAGTTTGTTATTTTAAGGCAGCGTTCTTCAGAATGACAATTTAAAATAAATAGGCATACAGCAGCCTGGTAGTTAAAAAATAAAAAGAATGCACATGATCCCATTTTGGTGCTTTGAATTTCATTTAAAAAACAGAAATGGCTGAGTTTTAGTGAAAATCTGAAAATCAGTAGGTATAATAATCTCAAAAACTGCAATATTACTTCAATTGTTTTACCTTCCTTGCAGTGCAAGAACAACTTTGAGAGGTGTGTGCTAAGCAGCAGTATGGCAGAAATGGAAAAGTTCAAACTTCTTACCTCTCACCATTGCTTTTAAGAAGGGTATTAAAATGTAATTTTCTTCTGTTGTTCTTTTTAAAGTCATACTAAATACCACTAGGCATTTAACAGTGCAAAAGATGTCTTATTCAGAAGCCCAGTTGGCGGTCAATTACGTTTACTTCCAGGTAAATGACCTGGATTTAGCCAGGATTACAGGCTAAAATATCATGGTAATAATAGAAAGGTGGGCTGTAGAAGCTTTAAATATTTTGTCTAATGGTGGAATTTTCCAAATTCACACTGAATGCCAAAGAAAGAAAAAAATTGATCTGCTACATCATTTTTCCAGCTATATTCAAATTTGAAGTTTTCACTGTTTTCTATGCAGTATACAGTTCTCCGTTTAATGGGGCAGTTCTCCGTTTAATGGGGGCAGAATCAAAAGTCTGGTATCAACCTATCAGCTTAATCTTTGGTTGAGAGCAGCTGAGAGAAGAAAAACAAGAGGGAGGCTTAAATTATGCCATTATGTTCTCACTTGGTAACAATGCAGAGTATTTTTGCTCTCCTGTTACACATGCAGACATGCTGCTGTATTGACTCAATGTAGCTCCATACCAGCTGCACTAACTTAGGCGTATTTTTCAGCCATACCTAGTGAAGCAGAGCACTGAATCTAAAACTTTTTATTGGACCATGATCATAGTAGGCACAGTGGTTAAGATGTTGCACTAAACCAGGAAACCCTGGTTTAAGGCTGACCTCAACCATTGAAACTCACTGTGTGACTTTGGGCCAGTCATTCTCTTCCACGCAGCCTACTTGCACGGGTTGTGGTTGTGGAAGGAAAACTATCTGTGCTCCTGGAGGAAAAAAAGGATAAAATTGTAACGGAATATTATATAAACACTGTTTTTTAAAATGAAGCATGGGCTTCCTCCTTTCCTTCTGACAGTAGAAGGCAATCATAAATGCAACAGTCTTGCATATCTCTAGCTGTGATATGCATCAGTGACACAGAATGCCATAAACTAGATAAAAACTCTGATGAGAGCCAGTGTGGTAGTGGTTAAGATGTCGGACTAAGAGCAAGCAAACTAGGGTTCTAGTCCATATCTGGCCACGGCAACTTTGGGTCGCTCACTCTCAGGCCAAGCTACTCTGCCGAGTTGCTGATGTAGGGATGAAATGAAGGGAGATGCCCATGTAAAGTACTTTGGCCTTTCTGTGGAAAAGTGCAATATAAATCTAACAAATCCCAAAAGGGGGAGATAAAGAGTTCTGACCCCATGTGAAGCATGGAAACATTTCAAAAGGAAAAGACACCTTCACTTCCACAGTCTAAAGTCATATACGTGTACCCTACTTTAGTACTACAAGCCCAGAGTCAGCCAGCCCCAAACCTGAACCAAGGGAGGGAGGGAAGGGAAGGGAGGATTATTTCCATCTTTCCCCTTCTTCATCTGCCTCAGCCCTGAAGAAAAGGCTGCTATTCCAGGCTGCCTCAAGGAGTGGGAAAACTATGCAGAATTTCTTATAAATATTACATAATAGGAGGAAGCAGCGGAAGATTTAGGTGAAGTGTTTATTACTGTTGTTCTGCACCATACCATCAATGTGAGTGCTTGTCCTATGGGAGAGGGACCTACTTATCCTTACATTAAACTGCCATGGAAACTAAATAAATAAATAAAAGCAGAACAGGAGCTGAGATGATGCTGTGAAAGAGGCAGGTGAAGAAACTGTTTTCTACATATGACAGAATTGCAAGGCTGTGTCATGCCACTAGAGGTCACGGTAGAACAATAAAAAGAGTGTTTAAAAGACAGTTTCTGCTAATCGTGGAGAGCTGCTGAAATGCTCTTTTCTGCTTGTTTATAGCTTTTTTTTTTCTTTTTATGGTGAGGTCGTGCTGCAAACACTTTGCAAATGTAACTATTATGGTGCTACATATTCTGAAACTGATGTCAAAATGATTACAGCTTTAGAGAGCTCAAGGTGGTGGGGAGCTCAGATGGGGACTGAGAGGTAGGCTGGGCTGAGAGATCCTATCTGGCCCCAAATCACCAAGGAAGTGCCATGACCTACAGTATTCTTCTTTTTATCTTCATGGCAGGTACATTGATGGCAGGTGATGCTGAGATTCTTCTTCAGAACAATCTGCTCTCTTCCTGCCTTCCTTGTTTTAACATTGTGTTTAGAAGAATACACACATATATACACGTGTGTGCGTATCGCTGAAATACAAACAGGGTTTCTGCCTTTTTTATCTGGCCTGTGGGTTGTCCTTGCAACTTCAGCTGTTGCTAGCTGTTTATCTGTATGCTAGGAAAAGACTACTGTACAACATTTATGAATGTGAGATTGATGTTAACAACACAAAAGCACACTATAAAAATATAGTAATAGACCTAAAGCCTCTTTGCCTTTCTAATATGCCTGAGGAATCCTTTTTGTTTTGTTGTTTGGACATTCCTTACAAACAGGATTCAATTCATTCTGCATTTTAGGCTTCCTGGCAAAATCCGTACTGTTTCTGGCCATGGCTTTCTGTCCTTTGGTTACATGCACCTCCTTCTATTTCCTATACATAGCCCTTTTTCTCTTCAGCAGTTTAGAAGGCCCTATGTGTGTGTGTGTGTGTGTGTGTGTGCTTATTTATTTATGTGATTTAGAGTTTGCCTGACTCCTAATGACTCTGAGAAGCTTACAGTTTAAAAAGCAAGAACAAAAAAAGATTCATGAGTGGCCCAAAGACAGACATATAAACAAAAATCCATCCAAGAAGGGCTCCGCCAACAACCTACCCCAAGGCCTGGGAGAATAGCCAGGTCTTCAGTAGCTTCCTGAATGTCATCATGGTGGGAGCTGTGATCCACACATCTTCTTAGATGTCCCCCATTTTTCCTTCTAATTAGAATTGTTTGCAATTGTGCCTTCAGGATCTCATTTTGCTGGATTTTTAATCCTTCCTGGGCACTTTTCTCCATCAGGATTTCAAGTTGTTGGATCTGAAATACTTCCGTCTGAATTCATCAAAATCTACCTTTCTGAAATGCAGTATATAGCTCTGATTCCTCTGTCTTCCTCCTCTCCTTAACATAATGAATTCAGGAATAAGATAGGTTCCAAACACTTTCAACCAAGGCCTGGATTAGGTCCAAGTTAGCAGACCTCCCTTGTTCTATCTCCTACCTTCTGACAAAATTGTCAGCAAGAGAGGACAGGAATTTGTTGGACCTCAGAAGAGTTAGATTCCCAATAGATGTCATGGTAATTGAAATCTCCTATTTTCATTATCATGTGTGTCTGAACATTTAGTCATCTAATGGAGAAAGCACTTATCCATGTCTTCTGTCTGTAAAGGTAGTTTATAGGAAAGTCCCCCAACAACATCACTTTTGTTTCATTCTCCTCTTATTCTTACCAAAACTCTCTTAACAGAATTTATATGCAGGCATATGTTTTCCTCATGTGCAGTGTAACACTTCCTTCCTTTCTGTTGAGTCTGTTCCTTTTAAATAAGTTGTGACCTTCCAGGGCTATGTTCCAATCATGTGTGTCATCACTCCAAATTTCAGTGATGCCTTTGATATAGTATTTGCCCTCCTGTGTTAGGATTTCAAGTTCTCTCTGTTTGCTTCCCACATTGGTGTAGATACATCCGGGATTGTGAGTAGTACCTCCTACTGGCTTCACTGTTGTAGTTTTATGCTGACCTCTAAGTTCCCTCTCTGCCCACAGGCTCCTCCCTTTGTTTCCTGTATCTTTGGCTTCAGCCCTTGGCAGTATATTTGATTTTGGACATTCCCCTTTTAGTGTAATTTAATATTCTCTTGATGGGGCCTGCAGAAAACTTCCCAGTCTTTGTGAGCCTGTCTCTTGCCAGGACTCCTTCATATAGATAATGCAGTCCATGGTTGAGAAACCAACATCTTCTCAGCAGCCCCATATACAGAGTTCCAGGAT